AATACCTGCTTAGGCACTGTCTTTCTAAGACTTGCTCTTCTTGATGTTCCTAAGGAAGTTCTAATAATCACAGACTTAGCAGATTTACCAGCTGTAGAGAGCTAGATTTACTTTTCCATAAAAGGATTCAAGAGATCTGTAATGCTATCTTTGTAGAAAATCTTGTATCTTTGGGAATTATTTTTATCACTTAAAAACAGTAATATTCCAAATGACCTCCGGGAGTGACCACTTGGCAGGGTGAGCGGATGCCCAACATAGATGCAGGAAGAAGGGGCTCTTGGGTTCTCAAATTCTATGACTCTCTCCTCAGATGTGGAGAAAGGAATGTGAATTTAACCCTCAGCTTGTCTATCCCGGTTCTGCTTTCTGGGAGGCCTCCAGTCATAACACATCTCTGAAAATAGCCACCATGGTCATCTTAGCTAACTGCAGTTTTCTGCAGACTCTATATGGTGAAGCATTTCCAACTCATTCATTTCCTTATCTGAATCTCAGGAAAAGTACCAAATAATGAACTCCAGGGTTAGGGCTTAAAGCAAACCCAACAGGTACAACTAAGGAGACCCTGTGGTAACAGGAAGGAGTCATAACATGGTATGGACTATACCCTCCAGTGACCAGAGCCTCTGGGTAGCAGCCAACAGCAAGCAGAGCTTTCACAGTTCCACTGCTAAGAACCACAGCATCAACAGTTTCCATCCGTGAGTACATCTGAAGGTTGCCTGAAGGCAAGGGAAAAAGCCTTCTGGCTTGTACATTGTCCTCCCTACCTAGCTACCAAAAGCACTCAAGCTATTCATTTTATGAACAGTCTTTTTTCCTCAGTACAAAAATTATCTTTAAATATTTCTTGGGAATTTGACTTTCCATATGGATTTGATGTAGGCCTCAGTTAAGCTATCAGATTTAACAAACAAACAAACAAAAAAACATGGTACAAGGTCACTGACTAGTTAGCTTGTTTGGTCAGAATGTGGTGCTAATAAAAAGTGGTACAGTAGTCAGCTTACAGCTGATGTCCTGTTGGCAGCATATGGATGCCCATGCCACTATGTACAGAGTAAGATGCAGTCTCCTTCACAGAGCATCTCTCCGCAGGAAAGACTGGAGGAACGGCTATTTCTCAGAGGCTTACTGAGGCTCAATCTCTGCCAGGGCTTTCAAAACTTTCTACGCTAACAGCTGCTTACTGGGCCAGTTTCTCTTCTGAATCGAAACACTTCTAAAGACTCCTTGGGTTCATGAAGAAGCATTTTTGTTCCTACTGGGAACTCAAGCAAAAACTTTTTATGTTTATTGAGTCTATTATCTAATTCCTCTGCACAGAAAACTGTATGCTTCACAAAAAACACACTCAACTATAATAGTCAGCTAGAATGACTGCAGTGAACTCTATCATCTATCATCTATCTATCTATCTATCTATCTATCTATCTATCTATCGATCATCTATCTATCTATCATCTATGAGAGAAGGAAGAAAGGGAGGCAGGGAGGGAGGAAGGAAGGAAGGAAAGAAGGAAGGAAGGAAGGAAGGAAGTCATCTATCTATCTATCTATCTATCTATCTATCTATCTATCTATCTATCGATCATCTATCTATCTATCATCTATCATCTATCTATCTATCTATCTATCATCTATCATCTATCTATCATTTATCACCTATCATCCATCTATATCTATCATCTATTTATCTCTATTATCTATCTATCATCCATCTCTATCTATCTATCATCTATCTCTATCATTTGTCTATCATCTATCTATCTATCTATCATATCTATCTATCATCTATCATCCATCTATATCTATCATCTATTTATCATCTATCTCTTTCTATCATCTATCTACCTATCATCTATCTATCATCTATCCATCATCTCTATCATCTATCATCATCATCACCATCATCATCATCTATGTACCCATCTATCCATCCATCTACCTACATATCCATCCATCCACTCATCTATCCATCCATCCCCTGAAAACACCCAAATGAGATTCCTTGGAAAAATTGCTTCTGCTATAGTTTGGATTTTGAATATCCTTCAAAGGTCCAATTCTTAATGGCTTGTTCTCCAGGCTGGTGCTATGAGTAAGTAGGTGGTTGAATCATTAAGAAGTAGACATTAGTGGGAGGTTTTTAGGTCACTGGAAGTGTGCCCTGGAAGAAAATTTCGCATCCTTCCCAGACCCTTCCACATTTTCTTTCACTTCCTGGACATGAGGATGAATGGCTTTGCTCACTTAACACATGTTTCCACCATAATGTGCTGCCTTGGCACTGGCTCAAAGGAATAGGCCACCTGGTCCTGGATTAGCACCTGCAGTTCTGTGAACCAAAGTAAGCACGTTTCTCTTCATAGGCTAATGATTTCAGAATTCTCGCTATAGTGATGGTGCTATTCCCTTCATAATTCTTTCTCAGTTTATTTACAGGTATCCTGTGCTTTTTACATCATCTAATGTGGTACAAGGAACACAAACTCCTAGAGTGGAATTGGTTCAAATTACAACTCCACAATTTTTTGTCTTTGGACATGTTTCAAACATGTTTTTAACATGTTTAATAAATTCTACGTCTTTGTACACTTTTCTACTTAATTAGGACAATAATAGAACTCTTAGGAGGATTAAACATGCTAATACATGCAACGTGCTTAGAATAATGCTCAGTAAACCTATTATTATTATTATTATTATACTTGAACAATTCTGTCACATGCACGGTTGAAACCATAAGTACTCTACAAAACAGGAATCATACCTTATCCATGTCTTATTGGTAACTATAATGAGGCAAAGTTACATGTTTTCAAAAATCATCTGTAGATGGGCCAAGATTTGAATCATAGTCCTGGGGTATTAAACATAGGATTATCTTCAGTTATACTGGAGTATTTACATGTAATCTACAGCAAAATAGCTATTATAAAATACTGACATTATGCGAATTCAGAAAAGAAGAAATTTGACAATATCATAATATCTATTCTGGGACATTATTGTTCAGATAAACAAAATTAAATGATCAGTTAATATAAATATTAGTTAAAGTAGTGACAGCTGGATTTTGAACTTAGTATGTAGCGGTTTCGAATACCTAGACTTCTGAAATAAGAATGTAAGAGGAAGAAGAGAAGAAGAAGGGGTGACGGGAGGAAGAGGAACACACATTGCTGTGTATTCTTTTAAGTTAGTTTACTACGTTACCTCTGTACTACTCATCACTGTCCTCTCATCCATTCTCCTCCCCCACTGTCCTCTGTGTCCCCGGTGCCCTTCTTGCTGGCTCCCTTGTAGCCCCACAGAGTCCCACACTCTGCTTTCATGTTAAATGTATTCTTTATCCTAACACTTACTTTTTATGAAAATGGGTAGACTCCCACCTTGAGAAGAGTCAGCACATGAAGATGCAGAATTATAGTATGGTTGCTTAACGCCGTACAAGTGGACCCTGCCATTGGGTTTACATGTTTAAATGTGCAGTTTGCATCCAAGCTGCCGCCATAATTCACAAGCCAGCAGTAGACTTGCTAGCTGCTGATAAATGGATGGCATTCAGGCCTCTTAGATCTATAAGATGGAGACTATTACCTCTGTGAACCCTTAGCCACATGCAAGTTTTATGAGACAAGCAGAAGACTGGTCAATACAAATGAACAACTGGCACAGACTCCCTCTTTCCTAATGAATTTTTATAAGTTGAGACATTTAAATGGATCCCTAGGGAAGTGGTTCTTTCCTGATTGACAGTTTATACAGTATTAGCATCTATTATGATTCATAAAGTTTGGATATGTTAGCCTTCAAGAACCTACATGAGTGTCCTACTTAATGAGTCTCTTCATTTGTGAATCTAGTTTTAATTTTAAAGTGAGCTAAATACAAAAATACTTCAAATCACATCTCAAATTGTTAAAAGTAATTTTGAGAGAACCACATTAAAAATTACATTTCAGTGATGGCTTCTGGGGAAGGAAGAGTCAATTTTGTTTAAGGGTGTGGCCCTGGAAGGTCAACCATGCCCTAGTGGATAGCCCCACACCTAGGAGAATATGGGCAGCACAAATTGGACTCTGGAGGTTACTTTTAAAAAGGAGAACAAGGACATGAAGTTGTGAGGGGTGAGGGAGTGGGAGGTCGATCTGAGAGGAGTTGGAGAGGTGGATATAATCAAAATAAGCTGCATAAGAATTTCAAAGAATTAATAAAAATATATTTTAAGAACTGTATTTCAAGCAAAGGTAGCAATGCTAAAAAAAGATCCTTTTAAAGAAAATGGTATTGTTAACTCTAAATTTCTAGCAAAGCATTCCCTGAAATGTAGTGCTTCGTCCTGCTTACCTGACCAACACCCATTAAAGTATTTACTCATCTAGGTCGACAGATGTCCATGACACAACTGAAGAAATTTCCCCTCATTTTAAATCTGAAATTATGTTTTAAGTACAAGATGCATAGTATCCTAGAAATATGCTGCTTAATGTAATCTAGATGAAAAGATGCCGTTCTTTAGGTACATATTTTTAAATCTATACAATTTAATTGGATCTGATTGGTAAACAATCCTGAGACATAGAATCAGAAAATATTGTTTAGGTTAAATAAATGCGGTATAGTTTTCCCAATGGTCCCAGCTCATTTTTGTATCTCAGTCATCCATAAGGCTTTAAGACGTCAGACAAAACTGAAAGCAGATGACTGAAGTGCAGCATTATGCCAAGCAAATAACTGAAAAAGTAGAAATTGTTGAACAAAGGTTTAACATTCAAAGATTTCTGCCCTCTGCTTTTTTTTTTTCTTTATTCTGATGATCAATCCTGTCCAACACTAACCTTCAACTACTTTCAAATCAACAAGTACATGTCTGTTACCTAAATGGCCCAGTTCCCTCAACAACAAAACATGTCCTCATTCCATGCCAGGCATAACCCCCAACTCTCTAGCTCTTGCCTGTGAAGCTGGAGTCCCGGCATCCCTGCCCTTACCTGCTTCCCATCCAGGGTATACAGGCGCTTCACCACTCCCGAGTCCAGCTTGATCGCATCGGTTATGTCAGTGAGCACCTGCTCAAAGGAATGCGCCGTTTTCTTGTTCAGCAGGATCCTGACAGCTTTCCGAGGCTTTACCCCACTTCTGATGATGGTGACGAGTTTGGGCCGAATGAAATCCTTATTCTCCCGGACCTCTGAAGGGCTTCCCTTGGCAGTGGCCAGTGAAGACACTGCCCTGGAAGCTGAGGTGGTCTTCACGTTTACCGACCAGTTGGGGTTCACGTTCTTGGTGTATTCCAGCTTCTTGAAGGGCTCTATGGAGCCGCACACATAACTCTCTCCTAAGGAAGAGAGAAATGTTTTCAGATTTACACTCAGATGGGACTCTTCTTCGACCTGCTCAGACTTTCATTTTTCCTTTTCTGCTTAGAGGCAAAAATAACCTACGACTTTCAAAACCAGGAAGTATGATTGGTAATGAACACTTACACTTCTGACTTCTGATAGCATTCTTTCAATGCAGATTGGGAAGAAAAAAGAATCACCATTTTCCCCTTTTTGGATCACAAATGAAAATACTGATATGCTGATATCAGTTTCAGAAAGATATACAATGAATTCAACATAGAAATTATTCTTTGACATTTTAAACTTAACAGTATTTAAATTTGCAGAAAACTTCAAAATTATAAGGACATACATCTGCTACTTTGAAAACAAAAACTCGATCAGCACATAGCTTCTACTTTTTCTTTTTGTTTTTTTGTTGTTGTTGTTGTTTGTTTGTTTGTTGTTTTTTCGAGACAGGTACTCTCTGCAGCCCAACTGGCCTGGAACTCACTGTGTAGACCAGCCTGGACTCAATCTCACAGGGATCCTCCTGCTAGGATTAAAGGCCATGCCCCGCTATTACAAAGCTCCTTAAACCAAGTAATATACTGCTATAAGGGGAATATAATATTAAAATTTTATGTAGCCAAATAAAATTCTACAAGCAAGCAAAGCCAATTGTCCTTTCTTTCCTGTTGTCTGTACAGTGCTGACTGTGGTGAGCCATGCACACTAGAAAGTCAATTCAAACTTGTTGGTAGACAAAGATGATGAGAACAGTCAGAATGCCCAGCCTACAAACTGTAGCATCACAAATGAACTCTAAAGTAAATATAATTTTTTTAATTTAAAAATGACTCCTTGACAAATGATTTCCTTGACATAAAATATTCTAACGAAAATGCTCAGTCTGAAAATATACAGATCATTCACAAAAGAAAATGACACATGTACCAAAAGACAGTAAATTGTGAGGTGACTGATTTCTAAATACATACTTCACAGAGCAAAGTCAAAGTGAGGTCACCATGTTGGAACTAAAGATTTTATAATGACTCCCCAGCCCACGTTAATAAGTCTTTGTAATCAGAAGTAGGGGGAAATGTTTAAAATCTCTTAACTGCAGATAAAGTGGCTCAGGTCTAATCCAACACACTCTTATTCACTTTCATCAAAGTCCTTGTCCTATTTTAAATTAATAATGCAAGCGTGCAAGACCACAAAATTAAGTAGTCACATAAAAATAACCAAACCAAAGTTTCAAAAATAAAAAGACAGTTATATATGTGATTCAGCATTTATTTTGCTAAGGTTATAAAACATCTCTCTAGTATGTGCACATCTACATTATGCTTCACCAGACAGAAGCTGTTCGATGAGGACAAGTTTATCCAACCTCCTTTCCAGTCACTTGGCAGATCCTGAGTTGTCCCAGCTGTATTTTCCAAGGATTTCCCATACCTATCAAAAGTAGGTGTGGCGCTGCTGTAACTAGGGTGTTTTTCAAGGTTTATTGGAAGGATGTCATGATCTTAACAGTGGAGAAGCGCTTCTTGGAAATTTGGGCTCAAAATTGTGCTCTCTAAGCATGAGACCTTGGCCCAATCCCTTAGATTTCTGAGTGGTAGGTCACTCAGCTGTCTAATGAAACCTCATTGGGTTTCTATGAAGGTCAGATGAGGCAGTAGAGGGCTGGAGATGTAGGGCAGTGATAGAGCACTCGTCTAGCACGCACATAGCACGCAGCCCTGTGTTCAGTCCTAACAGCCGCTCCCAAATAGACAGTAGAGAACAACATAATCTCCGATACAGTTGTTCTATAGGTGACTTGAGGTAGCCTACCCTAATCATGCAGTGGGCCTGAAAGGAAAACTGAAAACAAAACTACCTGAAATCAGTAAACAGGATCTAAAACTTGTTCATTGTTTCTAAACATAGTTTCTAATGGACATTACAGTAGGTCCATTATCTCAATGAGACAATGCCCCAAATACTGCCCTGAACATACACACAGCCCCAAATACTCCCTGAGATGCACGCAGCCAAAACTGTACCTGCAAAGGCCAGCTTTTTTTTTCAGAATTCTGTGCTAACTGAAAATATGCAACTGCATGATTATTCTTAAGTTTTTATACTAAGCTATTAACTCAAACCAAAGAAACACAGACTGACACTTTAACAAAGAAAATTGTCATTTCAAGAAAAAATGAATTAAAGGAGGGAGAAATTTAAAGACTATAACAATATGGAATAGATTTGTTAAAGCAGAAACAAAATAAAAAAATAAACCCTTCTTTTAAAACATCTTCTTATGGAGGCTGTGGAGGTGGCTCAGTGGTTAAGAGCACTGACTGCTCTTGCAGAGGACCAGGGTTTGGTTCCCATGACCCACATGGTGGCTAGCAACCATCTGTAACTGCAGTTTGAGGGGATCTGGCACCCTCTTCTGACCTCCGCAGGCACTGTCTGACATGGGTGCACTTACACACGTGTAGGCAATACACTTGTACACATAAAACAAAAATAATAAATAAATAATCTTCATACATAAAACATAAGCCACTGAAACCTTCAAAAGCATGAAAAAGTCTTTGAACAACACTTCAAGAAGCAAGCAACAACAAGCAGAAAAAAATGTGTTTACTCTGTGCTCTAACTCTGGGCTCCCAGATCCTTTATCACATTAAAGCACTGGCCTGGGAATCATGAAGAAGGATGTCAGACTCCAATAAAGAATGATTTTGTGCTAAGAGGAAAGTGATAGGTAAAGGGAGGCAGAGGGGCTACCGCCACATCCTAGATGCACACCACACAGCTCTCTGTTGTTTAGAGAGCACTGTACTCTTCAAGGGTTCAGAAAAGCTAGTGTAGATAGTTCATTCACTGTGTATCTAATCTGTTTGGCACCACATTTTGATGACTTTTACTGTAATCAAAATTCAGAACTTGTCTCACCACTAGAAAGATGCACCCTGCCTTAGCTCAGTTAAAGCTGATTGTATTTTTGTTGTTCTACAGAAAAAAAGAATCACCTAACAGTTTTTCAACTCAGGTACCCCCTCATTATCCATGGGGAATTGGTTGTAGCGCCACCAAGGATTTCGAAACCCAAAGATACACAGGTTTCTTGTGTGAGATGGTGCAGTATCTGCACACAACCTATATACATTGTACATTTAAAATAATCTCTAGGTATACCTAATACAATGTGAATGCTATGTATTAGCTTTTATACTGTAATGCTTAGGAAATAATAGCAAGGGGAAAAGTCTGTATTTAATATAAATGCAATTTTTAAAAAAGTATTTCCAATATATGTTTGGTTGAATCCGTGAATGTGATACTTATGGATATGGAGGACTAAATGTAGCATGTTAGTATCATTGACAACTGTAAATTGGCTGATGAGATAACCCAGTAGGTAAAGGAGCTTGCCACCAAGTCTCACGCCCTGAATTTGATACCCAAAACCTATATCGTGGAAACACCTGACTCCTTCAAGCTGTTACCTGAGCTACACACACACACACACACACACACACACACACGCATGCACGCGCGCACACACACACACACATACACACACAATTTTAATTGTGTTTGAATGAGAATAAAATATAATTTTGGTTTGGTCAAGGAGCTCTGAATATCCAGTGTTTAGCTCTTACTTATTGGGACCAAGAATTAAAAGTCAAATGGCAATTGTGTTTAGAGGATCATAAGCCCTCATATGAGGAATATGTGTTAATAATCAAAAGAAGACCTACAATTGCTGTCATAGTAACACACATCCTCTGTTATATACCAAGCCACCCTAAAGTCTTAGTATAACTTCTGTAATAATGAAACATGAATTTATCTTTAAAAATGAATGCATATTTTATCAAAATAGCTCAAATTTTGCTTTAACAGTTTTCCATTACTTTTCATAGGTAATGCTAAACAAGGATGGCAGGATTACAAAGATCTTAGATGGTTTACAAGAAATAGCACAAGAAATCAAACAGATTTGAAGTAAAATTGAAAATCTAATGTAATGACTTGCTGGTTGGTTAACGAATTATCCATTTCTTGTTTGTTTTGGTTGGTTGATTTTTTGAGATGGGGCTTCACTTATTTTACCCAGGCTACCCTCAAACTTGTGGGCCCAAGTGACCTTCCTGCCTCAGTCTCATGGACAGCTGGTACCAAACCTACATGCCACTCAGCTTGACATGCTGCCAGATTTGTTTTAATGTTTGTAAACTTAAAAAAAAAATAGAACTAATTTCAAGGCAAGGATGACCTTACGATTGAACTTTATTATTCTGGGTGTTTTAGATACCCCCATAAATGACAAAAATAGCAGATGCAGTATCTTCCAAAGTTGTTGTGGCATTTACAAAGAATTTGCCCTTGAGAAAATAGTGATATAAAGAAAATGGTAATGAAGAAAGGAAATAAAACATTAAATTATATTTGAACCCAATCAATATCCCTTAAAACGTCAAAATATGATCATTTCTTCTTCCGTGAGAGATTTAAGTATTTTAGGATGTCTGAGTATGAAGTTGTTTTCTGTAAGCTTGATTATTTTTAAGATATTGATAAATCTAATTTTTGTTGTATATTGTTTTTAAGTTTTTGAGGCCAAGTCTTCATGTGTTGCCAAGATTAGCTCTGAACTCCTGGGCTAGAGGAATTCTCCTACTTCAACTCCAAGTTCCTTGAGACTACAGGTGTGCCTCATTGCTCTTGGCTGCAATGTTTGGTTTTGGTTTTAAAAAACCTTATGATATTTAGAATCATTATATCTGCTATTATTCTTCAAATGAATGAAATTTTCTCCAAAAAGTTTATTTTTTTAAGAATCTACAAAATCAATTCTACTTTTCCACTTGTTCCTATTGTAAAGCTATAATATTTCTCCTTAAAATGCATTTTCTAGGGGCTAGAGAGATGGCTCAGCAGTTAAGGGCACTGACTGCTCTTGCGGAGGACCCGGGTTCAATTCCCAACACCAACATGGTGG